GCTGGCTCACCTACCTGCTGACCGACTTGGGAGAGCAGCCTCGTTCGCCTCCAGTTCTATGCGTAGACAACAAGGCCATGATTGCCTTGTGTCAGGAGCACAGACTGGAGCACAGAACGAAGCACATCGCTCTGCGATAATTCCTTGTTCGAGATTTGCAGCAACGTGGCCAGCTTCGTCTTGCGTACGTGGCCACTAGGGCCAACGATGCTGACATACTCACCAATGCCCTTGCGCCTGGTGATCATCAGCGCTTCTCTACTGTGTTAGGCCTTGTGCCTACTTTTCCTCACTTGCTCACTGCTTGACTCTGTTTGTACTGTGATCTATATATATACTTGCATGCTTACACTTGCTAGGGTATGATCACTGTATTGTTTGTTATTTTTATATAACTCTGCTTGTGAACTGGCCTTGTGGCCCTTTGCTTATGCTCGGACTGTGTGGTGACTTTGTGATCCACCCTGAGCTTGCTTTGCTTTTCTTGACTGGTCTTGTGACTACTTGTTCTCCCCCACTTTGCCTATGGGGTTGTGTCAAAATGTTATATAGCTTATATTGTGTAGGCTATAGTGGGGTAGCCCATAAGGGGAACAACCCAATTAGGGTTAACACTTGTACCCAACTCTTTGCTAGTTCATCTATTCTCCTTCGTTATTCTGACATCGGTGCATATATTTCGGGAAATGGATTAAAGCGGCATACCTTAGGCGTCATCGCCTGCCTACTGCTGCCCCATAGGGTCTCCTGATGTGGGTGCGCCAGGGCTGGGCGGAGGAGTGTCACGAGCTCCAGAGGGCCCCTCAAGGGCGGGCTGTTCGACATTGACCGCGGGAGCAGGGGCCGACGTGGACGCGGCGAATGCACTCATGATCAAACGGGTGACTGCCTCCCGCTTGGCCAGGCGCTCCTGGTTGCATTCTTTGAATGTGCCAGCAATGAGCTTGGCTCCCTCAAACATTGCACTTTCTGACACCCTCTTGCCTCAGTGTGATCCAAGAATGATGGTGCTCGAAAGCCTTGAGTAAACGCAGGAGTAAAATTGGTCAGAGATGTTTTCGTGCCAAAATCACCAACTGACATTGACTCCTAAACGTCAATGTTCTGGTCGCGTGGCCGTTTGTGTACGCGGGAGTTCACGATCGCATGTTGTCAGTTCAAACAACCTTAATCCAATGACGAGCAAGAAGGGACTCACGCGAGATGTGGTAACTCTCGCATGCTCGGACCCCAAAAATCACGTGGGAAACGTGGCCGTTGTTCCATGGTGCAGTATTACAGTTTGAGTCATCCCACTAGTTCGAAAGTCCCAAACACGGGAAGCCCTGAAGCAGGAATTCGCCCTTAGTGTGGGTGGTTTGTGTGAAGCATGTGGGCTCGATTCCCATTGCAGGCAAAGGATTCTACTGTTACCACGAATGTTCCTCTAACGCTTGTAAGAACTAGCTCGGTACCATCAATGAAATTATTAGAGATTGTTCCTTAGCTCTCTTAAATATCAGTGATGCAAAATTTGTCACCTTTTTCTCGTAAGGGTCAAAGAAAAAATCACTTTGGAACGAAAGGGTCCATAAGCTAACCCAGCCCTTATAGTAAGTGTCATAAGGGGGAGTCACTCATCCTGGGGCCTGGTCCTTCTCCTATAGTGCAATCCCCGCTTTCTTAATTGAATTGTACTTGTATCACCATAAAAGTACAAGTGCACAAAATTATATTTCTGTTTTCTCTTTTCAATGATAGACTTTATTTGAGGACTGTATGAGAAATTTTACGCTATATTTTGAGTGCCGAAGACCAAGTTTACAGAATTCCAAGGGCTAACATAATTGACCATCTAGGCGTGAGTTGACTAACATATATATATATAATGTATATACGGGACGGGTGCATGATCTCAGCAGGTATTGTCGATTTGCTGCTGGAGTGTGTGATGTGATGCTGACGCGTTGACATTTGAAGCCGCTTGCGCTTCGGCAGAAATATCCACGTCAGCTCCGCTATGCGCGCCGTCATTTATGGCACCGTGGTGCAGCTGGGAAAGGGGAGGATGGACTGGTGGCGGACACTCATGGGGCCACGGTTGTCGTTCGCATTTTGGTCCACGTGGCAACAAAATTTGCTGAGCGAATTTCCGTTACTGTACTGACGCATGTTGGAAGGCGTGTGTGGTTCGCCTGCCCTTCCCGAACTACCTTGGGGTGTCAAATCCAGTTGTTCCAAAAAGTACAGACGAATTTTCAACCATCCCCCAATGACAAGGGGATGGACTCTTTGCCCGACGCTATTTATCAATCGAGGAGGAGTTCCTTGATCCGAATACGCCCTCAGAGGTTTTCCGTTCTTTCCAGTGTCAGCAGCAGGTTTTAGCTTCGTTGCAGATCGGCCTGCCAGCTCACATTGTCAGTCGGGTTTTGAAGCTACGCCTTTGGAGCTCCACACCTTCTCTTGCATATATCGCGACACAACTCTCCTTTTCCAACATCATTTCCTGATACAACTTTCCTAGCCACAGCCCGACATTAAGCCGTAAATACGCTCTGCAACATCAGGCCAAGAACCTGCTATTGGATCAAGCTGAAGTTTCTTCCTTCATTCTCCCAGAAGCGATAATGGCATCGCCCTTGCTCGCACGCGTTTTTATGCTACTCCCACTACTTGCCTTCGCTGCTCCTCACTCCAACGCCGTTCGCCTTATCCCCTCGCAAGAGAACGCTTTACTTTCCTTGAAAACAGCGTGGCGTGACTGTCCGATTATCAATACGTGGGTATCCGGCGCCGACTGCTCTGAATGGTACGGCGTCGGGTGCGACAAACGCGGAATGGTTACTGGTCTATACATCTCCAGCTACCTCTCAATGGGAGTAGCATGCACCGGCGAGTTGACGGAATCCGTAGGGAAGCTGACGGAGCTGACGTCGCTTGGTGTGTCCGGCATTTGGCGCATCTCTGGCAGTCTGCCCAAGAGCCTCGCGAAATTGAAAAAGCTGGAGTCGATCGCGATCGACTACAACAGACATGGCGTCCTTTCCGGCAACTTCCCAGATTACATCGTCAACTTCGTCCGCCTAACGGAGCTCGTGCTCCAGGGAACGGGCCTCACAGGGAGCATCCCAAGCGGGATTTCGCAACTCAGTCGCCTCACGCGCCTCGACCTCCAATGGAACCGTCTCGGTGGCGAAATCCCTCGGGAACTGTCGGCTCTGACGGCTCTCAAGACACTTGAGTTGACCGGGAATCGGCTGACGGGATCGATTCCGCCGACCCTCGGCTACCTTACTGAATTGACGAGCCTGCATCTTGGGAGTAACAAGCTCTCGGGCGCGCTTCCCTCAACTGTACTTCTCTCAATGCAGAGCCTCGAAGAGCTGAATCTGCAGAGTAATCGATTCACTCAGCAAGCATCTTCGTCTATCGCCGAACTCGCGAGCCACCAATCTCTGACAAACATTGACCTCAGTTGGAACCTTCTTTCGGGCAGTGTTCCGTCTCAGCTCGGGCAGATGAAAAAGCTGGAGTACCTGTACCTGACTGGGAATAAGCTGAAGGGATCCGTGCCCGTGGCTCTGATACAAAACATGCCGAAGCTGTACGACTTGGACCTTTCGTATAACAAGCTAAGCGGAGAGTTCCCCTGGGCGGCTTTTAAAACCGCTCCAGCATTGGAGTTCGTGCGGCTCCAGCGTAACACGTTCGTCGGCGAGATTCCCGCAGATGCGTTTAAGAAAAGCCACGTGGCACATTTCAGCATATCCTTCAACCTCTTCTCGGGTTCCATGCCAAATCTGGGGTTCATGGGCGGGGAGGAGGAACCGCCGGTTGACGTGCGCGGAAATTATTTCTGGGGTAGCCCGGAGTTCACAATGTTTAATTACAAAGTCTGTCCGGAGGAGGGGCAAGAGGATCCTGACTCAGGCGACGACGAGTATCTCGCGGCGCTGAACTGCCTCGGTAAGAGCGCCACGTGTAACATGAAACAGCAGCGGAGCGCGGCAGCGTGCAAACTGTTTTGCGGGGCGAGTAAGAAGAATGGTCCGTGCTCGGGCCACGGCGTGTGCGTTCCGGCAGGTGGGGGGGAGTTCAAATGTAGGTGTGCGAGTGGGTACAAATCGGTGCAGGGAAAGCCGCACGAGTGCGTCAAGGCATGAAGCTTTCAGATGCGTGGGCTGGTGGTAGTAGTTTTCAGATGCGTGTTGTGTGCTTGCGCGTGATTTCAACTTAGGCTGTGAAGAGGGTTCAGACGTGCTTCGGGGAGCATACGATTGTCCAGTGCATGTATGTCAATAAAACATATGTTTCTCTAGTACAGCAGCGTGCAAGTGGCACCAGCTCAAAGCAGTTCGTTGTGCTCACCAGGAATCGAGGAAGCATGCGCGTGAGTACAGCTTTCGTAAAATCCGAGTTTGGCTTGGTTCGAGTTTCCTGCAATGCGTGATGCTTCACCTCCAAACAGTCCTAGATTTCGAAGTGCACATGAGTGTTACCGTCAGACAAAACGCCTCCCAGCTTGTTGAGGCTTCTGGACCTACTTCGGGGAAGTGAGAAATGCGAGAACCCGTCCCTGGTTTATATGGACAGGCACAAAATGCAAAATCGCTATGCTGTGGCTGTGAAATGGTGTCGTGGTTGAGCAGAAAGGCTTGCTCCTTCTGTCAGCGCGTTGTGCGGGCAGTGATGCACTTGATTCAACTTGCAGCTTCGCAGAGGAGCGAACTACAGACCAGCGACGGTTAGCGAAGAGTCACGCGAGGTAGAACCGCTGTACAGTAAAACAGGTTCGGGTAACAGCTGAACTTTCAGAAAATTCGCCGAAGTCGAAGATGGAAGGTCGGCTTGGCGACATTATTGGAGGATCAGACAATTATTGCAGGCTCGTTGAGGTCAACGACGTCGTAGCCTTGCGTATTGCTGGAAGGCGCGGTGGTCGGATATAATGCAACCCAAAAAATGTATACAAGGTAGTAATAGCCTACACTGTGCAATGCAGATTCGTACGGTATGCCCTAAGATGTTTGTAGTTGCTCTGTGGTGCGAACCCTTATCCAGTCCCTTAGCCAGGTAACAACCTGCGTGACACCCAAAGACAGGATAATAAGGGAGGAAAAAAAACGTTAAATCATATGAAAGACTGAGAGTAAGATTAAGTCTCTACTATCTAAAGCTTCCTAGAAATTTTACCCACTTGCCAAGCCACCCCCCAACACAGCTATCCAGTCCTGAAGCCAGCACACCACTCTGCACACCTGCTGACTGCACATGCAGTTCACCTGGTCCATGGATGGCCTGTGCTTAGGGTTGGAGGCAGGGCACAGCACTCCCAACATCCAGCTGGCCCAATGAAATGACAAGGCACCTGCGAGCACATGGTGATACATATCTCACCTGATCCATGGACGGCCTATGCTTGGGGTTGGAGGCGAGGCACAGCACCGCCAGCATGGACACTGCCTGCAGCTGCGCGGGGTCAAGGCTCTCAATACCCCCCCCCCCCCCCCCCCCCCCCCCCCCACCCCCCACCTACGAGACGCACCTGATCCATTGTCGGTCGGTGCTTGGGGTTGGCAGCGAGGCACAGCACGGCCAGCATGGAGACTGCCTGCAGCTGTGCAGGGTCAAAGCGGCCCTCCAGGCGGTAATCTACGAGGCGAGTGAACTCCTCATTGTTGGCGATGGGGATGGCCTGCAGTGGTGATGGGGATGGGCACGAATGGGGCATGAAGAGGCGTCAAGGCAAGTGAACTCCTCATTGTTGGCAATGGGGATGGCCTGCAGACACACACGGGAGTGACGGCAATGAAGGGCATTGAGCGCTCGATGCATCGTGATTGCGAGGTCAACGCAACCCCCCATCGTAGTCCACGAGAAGTGAATTCCTTGTTGTTGGCCATGAGGATGGCCTGATGGCACACCTGGGGATGAAGGGCGCGGAGGGCATTACGATTCACAGGTGTGGGGTCCTGGGTTGCCTACGATTTGTGACAGAAAGGCCCTTTAGGCGGTAGTCCACGAGGCGAGTGAATTCCTCGTTGTTGGCGATGGGGATGGCCTGCAGGCGGGAGGAGCGGATGAAAGCATTGAGAATTTATTGGACTGCGATTGACAAGCATGTCCTCTTGGGTCGCCTTGGAAGGGGCTCTTGTCCGTAATTTACAAGACAAGTGACATCCTTGTTGCTGGCAATGGGGATGGCCTGCAGGTGGGGATGGGGATGAAATTGTTGTAAAGACTTCTCCTCTACTTAGCACGAACTGGGATTTGTACTAATCACTTGAGCTCTGTCTTAGATTTCCAACGAGCCGTGAATTGCTTCGTTCGCCTGAGAAACGAGTGAGCTATAGCTGGAAACGTGAAGACTATGCTCTAGGAATAGAGATTAGGAGCTCTCTGGAATTTTGACGAGTTGTACCATGTACAAGATGATTCCAATGTTCACTATGATGCATGCAATACAAAGAAAACATATTTATAGCATGCAACAAACATCGAGTCGCACAAGTAGCCTCGAACCGCTACACTCTCGAAAGTTCGAGTAACATTTCGAAGGGGTGAAATTCGACACTCGAATTTCACCGAACCGAATTCCCCTTGAGTCTCAAATGTTCCTGGTGCTGCCATGTGGCACCGAATCGATGGGTCTTCGGAAGTCAATCCTTCAACCCCACGCCAACCTGCAGCTCACTCGAAAGTGAGCACCAAGCCAACACCGTTCGGTGGTTGGGGGCAAAGTTGCCTCACGCAACCTCCAACAGAAATGCGTTGATTGCAACCCTTTGAGCACTATGATCGAGAGATGTGCCCCTTTGAGTTCACATGGAGAAGGAATTTCAGCCATGTGGACTAGCTGAGAAGCAGTCGAAAAGAGACTTCTTTCAAAGGAGACTCAGCTAAACGTGGACTGCTGCGACCTAGACCGCTTTTGAGGCGAGACAAGCGCCTTCTGGCAAAGGAAACTGGACTAGACTTTAACTGTTGAGACCTAAACCTCTGGCCATGTAGAAGGGGCGAGAAGCAGTATGGAACATCTTTGGCAAAGACGTGACAGAAAAACGTGAAAGTATGATCCAGAGAAAGCGAGAAACCAGATATTTTTGAGAGGTGTCAACACTAGAGGGAGGGAATACAGAGACGAGAAAGGCTTTTGAGGCGCCTCAAAAGAGGGAATACAGAGACGAGAAAGGCTTTTGAGGCGCCTCAAAAGAGGGAATACAGAGACGAGAAAGGGAGACACCAGAGATTAGGGAGGAGAGAGGAGAGAGATGAAGGACAACAGGGGGGGAAGCAGCTTACCCAGGCAGAGAGGTTGGGGGGCTGCCTGCCGGGATGGAAGGGCACATGACCCGTTATAAGCTCCAGGAGTATGACTCCAAACGCATACACATCTATTGCTGCTGTGATGAGGCCCGTTTGCACGTACTCTGGCGCCACGTAGCTGGCAAAAAGGGAGGGCGGAGAGGGGAGGGGTATTGTTGAGTCAAGGGCCACCGTATTTGCATCTGCTATGATGAGCCCTGCCTGCACGTAGTTGTGAGGCGGCACAGGAGGGAGGGGAATGCGAGAGGGCAGTGTGAAGTATGTAGCAGCAGAGGGATGGGATGAGGGAAATGAAGGACACAAGGGAGCAAGGAGAGTGTAACACGAACAGTGTGACGGTAGACAAGGGAGCAAGGGAGACACACTCTTTGGTGCCAATGACGCCGGTAACCACCAGCTGCTAGACGTAACGAGGCTACACACGAAGAATGCTTTTTCGACTGTACGAATGTGACAATAAATCTCACCCTCTGGTGCCCATGATGCTGGTAACCGCCATTGCCGGTATGTACTGATCTGGAGCCACCTTGGCTGCAAGTGACTGTAACGAGTGGGCAGCAACTCACCCTCGGGTGCCCATGATGCTGGTAACCGCCATGGGCTGGGTGTACTGGTCTGATGCCACCTTGGCCAGCCCAAAATCTGACACCTGGCGATGGGGCAGGGGAGAGGGAGGAGGAATGGGGAAGGATGAGTTTGGGGGCAGCTCACTAAGGGTGTACCTTGGTATGAATTCACCTTGGCCAGGCCAGGATTAGAGACCTAGAGACGGGGAAGGGGCGAGGGAGAGTGGGAAGTAGGGGGGGGAGGAGGGGGTAGGAGGGGAGGAGGGAAGAGTTTTGAGACGGCTCACAAATGGTGTACTGGTCTGAGGTCACCTTGGGTTTTGAGTCGACTCAAAAGAGTACTGGTCGCAAGCGAGCAAGGGGAAGAGGGGAGGGTGGAGGGAGGAGGGGACGGGAGGATCGGAATAGAGCAAGGAAAGGGTCTCACTGTCACTGTACGAGTGCGGTGCACCTGACAACCAGGTGTTAGAGTGTAATTGAGAACGGGGTGATGGTGCTAGCATTGACCATCACCCCGTTGCATGTTGACTAGCATTGACCAGCATTGACTGACGTTGACTGACGTTGACTGACGTTGACTGACGTTGACTGACGTTCACCAGCTTACACCAGCGTTGACTGGAGTTGACGCGTCGATCAGCCTTTGACTGGCGTTGACCAGCGTTGACTCACCAGGGCGTGCATGTGAGCATCCAGCAGCACATTGGCTGCCTTCACGTCCCGATGAATGATGGGCGGCCGGCACGAGTGCAGGAAGGCCAGCCCGGTGGCCGCCTCACACGCGATGCGCATGCGCAAATCCCAAGGTAGCGGGGGCTTTGTATGATCTGGTGGGAGAAAGAAACGGGAGTGGGGAAGCTGGGTTTGGTAAGATTTAGTCTGGACAAGACAGTCAGGGGGTGGGAAATCAACTTGGTCACTCCTGGGAGCGAGTCACTATCTTTCAGGAGCCAGGAGTGAAGGAGGGCCAGCCCGGTGGCCGCCCGCCTCACAGGCGATGCGCATGTAGTGAGTCGATTTTTGAGTCGACTCACAGGCGATGCGCATGTAGTGAGTCGATTTTTGAGTCGACTCACAGGCGATGCGCATGTAGTGAGTCGATTTTTGAGTCGACTCACAGGCGATGCGCACGTAGTGAGTCGATTTTTGAGTCGACTCACAGGCGATGCGCATGCGGAGATCCCAAGGTAGCGGGGATGGGAATAGCAATTTTGACGTGTCAGGCACAGAGGCAGCCCGCAGGAAGGCCAGCCCGGTAGCCGCCTCACACGCAATGCTGACGCGGAGATCCTAGTAGTGGGGGCTTCATATGGTCTGGTGGAAGACAGAAAAAGGAGTCGGGAGGTGGCTTTGAAATGGTAATATCTGGAAGGAAAGGAGCAAATTCGTGTGGGCCGTGGGGATTCAAGCAGGTCACTTGCCGGTGGCAGCACGAGTGAAGAAAGGCCAATCAGGTGGCAGGGTCACCAGTGATTCACATGCGCACACACACTTACCCAAAAGCTTTACCCTCTGCTCTGTCACGCACCTTACCCACGCACCTTACCCACGCACCTTATCCACGCACCTTACCCACCACTCTTATCCATACTAGAAAACAGTCAACCACTGAGAGACCCTTACCTCTGAGCCTTGTGTTGAGCGAACCATTGGGCAAGAAGTCAAACACCATCAGCACCTCGCCCGCTGTCGCACACATGCCCACCACCCTGTGCTTCCCAGTCCTTGCATCCCAAATACACTCACCCCCTGGGGTTCCCATACCTCGCAGCCTAGTCTCCAGCGATCCATTGGGCAGGAAGTCAACCACCATCAGCAGCTCCCCTGCCATCGCACACACCCCAGCAGCCCCAGCAGGCTCGGGTGCCGAACCCGCCTCAGCACCCTGCGGGTCCCCCAGAAACTCTCCCCCACCTTACCTCGCAGTCTTGTCTCCAGCGATCCATTAGGCAGGAAGTCGAACACCATCAGCAGCTCCCCCGCTGTCGCACACACCCCCAGCAGCCCCAGCAGGCTCGGGTGCCGGATGCGCCGCAGCACCCGCAGCTCAGCCAGAAACTGCCGAGCGTTCGCCGCCCCCTGCACGTCCGCTACAGCCGGCCCCCACCATCGTAGTCTCTTCACCGCTACCTTCCGACAGCCCCCACTGGCCACACCACTGCCGCTCCCCCGCCCTGCGCCCCCCCCTGCTGCGCCTCCCCCTGTTCCGCCCTCCCCCCATCCCCCTCTCCCCCACCCCTCGCTCCCCCCACCCTGGGATTCCACCTGAGGACACCTGCCAGGTGGGAGCATCCCCACAAACACCTGACCACTGCCGCCCTCCCCGATCAGTCTCTGCGGAGAGAAATTATCCGTGGCCAATAGGAGCTCGTCAAGGTAAAATTCCTGCTGCCCGTACTCGTCCTGCCCGTAAACTTCCCGAATGATTTCGGTCGGCGGGGCAGGCGGGACTGGGGATGGGGGAGGGGCGAAGAAATACTGGCCGTTGGATTGGGATCGGGGAGATCTGGGACATTGCTGCCAGCCCCCACCACTGTCCCCTCCCCCTCCCCCCATAACCCCCCCTCCCCCCATCCGTCCCCCCATTGCTCCTCTGCTTCCTCCCCCATTCGGTACCCCACCGCCCCCATCAGACCCCCCTCCATATCCCCTTGACCCCTGCCCCGCTCCCCCTCCCCCCAAGCCACTCCCCCCTCCCCCTTCCCCCATGCCACTCCCCCCTCCCCCTCCCCCTGGGTCTATCCGCGGAGATTGGGGGGAGGTAGGCGGAACAGGCACTTTCCCTGTGCGGGGTTTGGGGCAAGGGCAAACGGAAGTGGGGACGGGGGAACAGGCAACAAGGAGAGGGAGGGGAAAGGGGGAAGAAGGGGATTGAAAGAAGGGACGAGGAATGAAAGGGGGAGAAACGGCGAGGATGGTTAGTGGTATGCATGTGAAGAGGAGGGCTTTAAGACAGTTTCAAACGAGGAGGAACAGTGAGGATGGTTAGCGGTATGCATGATGCATGTGGATGGGTGCATGTGGAGAGGAGAGGAGGGTGGCTGTGAGCACGGAGATGAGTGGGAAGAAAGAGATGTGGAAGGGAGTAATAACACACTCAATCTCATCATGGCTGCCACGTCAGCAAACCTGCCTTGTCTTGTAGCGGAGCAGGCGTTATTTGAGACGAGCATGATCTTGCAGCTGGCCGGCAGCCGGTCGGCGAGAAACGTCATCATGTCCACGTCAGAACCGGCACTGCCACTGAAAGGGGAGAAGTATAATGAGAAGGGGTGAGGGGGGGATGATGAGAGCTTTGAGACGCCTCAAAAGAGAGCATGGAGGGGAAGGATTACGAGAAGGGGCACATAAGGAGTGATATGATAGCAACAAGCACACTCGCCCACCCGATATGACTGATGGTCTTTGTCGCTTTGAGACATCTAGAAAAAAAGAGCCTGTGTTGCTCATTATAAAGCACCAGCTCTCTTACTGCAGAAAATTTGCCCCGTGTACCAGAAAAAAACACATTACAATAATTCTCGTCATTTACGCTCGCTCACCCAATGAGAGTGATGGTGCGTCGCACCCGCCCAATGACCACCAGCCCCGCCTTTAGCAGCTTTGCCTCATCGAACAGGGAAACAGATTACCACCATTCTCGTTATAGGCATGCTCACTCACCCTATAAGAGTGATGGTGCGTTTCACGGGCCCTATGACCACCAGACAAGCCTTAAGCAGCTTTGCTTCATAGAGCAGGGCATCTCGCACACGAGGGGCCGAGCGCACCACGACTTGGAGAGCGATCTGGTGGAGAGGGGTGGAATGCGGTGCGGAACACAGAGAATGATGCTTCAGCTGAGCCTGCCAGCCTGGCCTGCCTTGAGCAGCTTTGCCTCGTAGAGCAGCGCATCTCGCACGTGAGGGGATGAGCGCAGCGCACGGCAACTTCAAAAGTGATCTGGTGGAGAGGAGTGGAATGCGGTGCCGAGCATTGTGAATGATGCTTCGACTCAGCCTGCCAGCCTAGCCTGCCTGCCAGCCTGCCAGCCTGGCCTGCCTGCCAGCCTGGCCTGCGTGCCAGCCTGCAGCAGCAGCCTTGCCTCGTGAAGCAGAGCATCTCGCACATGAGGTGATCAGCGCACGTCGACTTGGAGAGCAATCTGGTGGAGAGGGGCGGAATGCGGTGCGGTGCGGTGTGGGAAACAGTGGATGATGCATCATCTCTGCCTGCCTGTCTGCAGCAGCTTTGCCTCGTGCAGCAGAGCAACATGATTTCAGGGGTATGAGCACATGACGACCTGGAGAAACCTCTTGTTGAGAGAGGTGGACGTGTGGAGGGAAGAAAAATATGCCTCAACTCGGCAACGCATGCAGCAGGGAACCTCTATCTTGGGATGCGGCGCTTTCAGCATCTACTGTTTACTGTTTACGGTTTACTGTTTACTGTTTACTGTTACAAAGCAACGTGCAACGTCACCTCCAGTTTCAAAAGAACCACCTACCCCAACCTCATCTCTCGACTGCTTCACCTCCACCCTCACCTCCTTCCCCCTTTCCGCACATGTTTTGCCGCTGCCACTGTGCCACCTCTATCTTGGGGTGCAGCGCTGCCAGCATCCTCTGACCCACCTAGAGGTTACAGAGTAACCAGATAACACACCCTCCCTCCCCTCCCCACCTGCTTCGCCCCTTCTTCATCCGCTTCGCCGTCGCCACCTCGATCTTGGGGTGTAGGCAGGGCTGCCAGCATGTGTTCTCTTGCATGCGTGACAGAGCAACCAAGTACCATCCGTCCCCCTTCAATCATGGGGTGCAGGACTTCCAGCACCCTCTGACTCGCCTCCTGGAGATTCGTGCACAGTCTCGTGTTACAGAGTAACCAGCGGCTTCGTCTCCGCCTCACCTGCTTGGCAGCAGCCACCTCGATCTTGGGGTGCAGGGCTGCCAGCATTCTCTGACTCGCGTCCTCCTCATGTTTCAAAAGAACCAGGTACCCTCACCTCCTCTTTCGACTGCTTCACTCCCTCCCTCTCACCTGCTTCCCCCCGTCCCCACCTGCTTGGCAGCCGCCACCTCGGACTTGGGGTGCAGGGCTGCCAGCATGTGTTCCCTTGTACGCTCTACAGAGAAACCAGCATAGACCACAATCGCCTCACCTGCTTGGCAGCGGCCACCTCGATCTTGGGGTGCAGGGCTGCCAGCATTCTCTGATTCGCGTCCTCCTCCTCCTCCCCGTCCTGCTCTGAGTTGAACCGTGCCTTGCGTGACCCTGGTGCATGCAAGCAGGACAAACGACAAAAAGGAGAGAAATGAGCGCGCAAACCTCAACACCATTCCACTATTTCCACCTCAACCCAACTCATCTCCTCCTCCCCGTCCTGCTCGGAGTTGAACTGTGCCTTGCGCGACCCTGGGGCAAAGAGCACACAACAAGAGAGAAGCGACACGTTTTGAGGCGCCTCAAAAACCGCGCTGTGCGCATCCCTGCGACAAAGAGCATGCAACAAGAGAGAAGGGACCTCTGTGTCGCGTTTCACAAGTCTTGAAAGTGACAGGAGAATCAAGTCAGCTAGCTCCTTTGCATTCACTCGCTTCCCTTCATCTACGCTCACTCCACTCCTCCTCTTCTCCCCCCATCCGCCTCAACCCTTCCCTCCGCGCGTTGCTCTGAGTTGAACCAAGCCTTGCGCTAACCTGGTGGCGGCAGGGCGGGTAAAGAACGACATGAGGACAGCGGGGATTCGGGCGGCCATGGCAACGATACGATCGCCAGGCACCTGAGAGCTGCTGGGGGGGGCCGCCCCTGAGGACTACTGGGGGGGCGCGCGCCTGGGGACTTCTGGGGGGGGGGCGCGTCTGGGGACTGCTGGGGGCGCCGCGCCAGAGGACTGCTGGGGGGGGGTGAGTGAACGAACCTGAGGTCTGCGGGGAGCGAACTATTCGGACGGCCATGGCGACAATACGATCCCCGGGCACCACCAGCCTCGCGAGAGTGAACTCTACCAGCGCCTGCCCCTCCCTCGAGATTGCCGCGCCTCAGGACTGTGGGGCAGCACGCACCTGAGGTCTGCGGGGCGCGCACAATTCGGACAGCCATGGCGACAATACGATCCCCAGGCACCACGAGCCTCGCGAGGGTGAACTCCACCAGCGCCTGCCCCTCCCTCGAGATTGCCGCGCCGCCGCCGCTGCTGCTGCTGCTGCCGCCGCCCCACAGGAGATTCGCGTTCGGCTGGTGCAGTCGCACCCCCACCAGAACCACCTTCCCCCCGCCGCCGCTGCTGCTGAGAGCTGTCGGGAGTGACGTCATGCTGACGAGAGGCGAGAGCGGGAGGGTGGTAAGACTGCGGGTACGTGTCGAGAGGTATGTGACGTCGCCTGATGTCAAGTGACGTCAGGCTGCTGGAGGCGAGACGTGAAGGGGGGCGGGATGTTTGACGTCAATTGCATGAGACGGAAGAACAATTTGCCTCTTGAACGAAGGTGATATGACGGGATCCGTTAGCCGCCGATACAGTCACAGCGAAAGAGTCGAGGCACTAACGAGGGTGATTGTAACGAAGCCGTGGTGTCGCTAATTTCTTCTACCGAACGACGGCGCTATGGATGGACCAGACAAAAAATGTCGAAATCCACCTTGCGACGAAGCTACTATACGGTGCAAACACTGGACACGACACGATCAACGTTGCCTAAATGCTTCCGTCTATTCACGTTTACTAATTTCGGGAAATAGTTGCAACTGAAACGGTGTGTCTGTACTGTACAAGTGTCGCCACCATTTTTTGTCTCGGACACAGCAGGTGCTGTTGGCCGTGTGCGCGCGGGAAAGGTGTCAGGTGAAGGGCGGGTGCAGAGCAGATTCGCACTAGTCTCGAGAACTGCAACATTTGTATTCACATTGTACCTCGATGAGAAACATGGGTTCGAGTCTTTTAGCTGTAACGAATTTCAAACTTGGGGTCGCGTTGATCCTCGCCAAATCATGGGGTTGTCTTGTGCGACACAGGCATCCCAGACTCAAAACGCTTTCGTCAATATTTCCCGAAAGTCATGGACTAGTAACGCGGAAGAAACGAACGTCGTATGACGCTGCAAACCCTGACTGGTTCGTACTCAAGTGCATGATCACTGCAGTTTCAGCCCTTCTCTCACGTCATCACCCTTCATCGACGGTTAGCAATTGCTGTTGATTAGCGGCACACGTCAGCAAGCACACAAACCAGTCATCCAGCAGTCAGCTGCAAACTCGCTGTCACATGGGATGATGCTGGTTTGTGAAGTACCATCGACAGTGCATATGTACCGAGCAGCACCGTGGTGAAATTTCAGCAAATCAAGGAGCTGATGTAGAACCTCCCAAGAACATTCGTCTCTGGACTGGACAGTTCGCATATATGTCAGGTGACAACCCAGACACGGAAAAAGCCAGTTGAGATTTTCTCCCACCATGGGTCCTGACTGGAGCTGATGCGTGAGGTATGCCAACTCGGAACCCGAGCCGTCGGCTTGGGAGAAATCTCTCGCGTTTTTTTCACGACTCGCTTCTTAGTCTGCGCAGTTCGGCTTCATGGCGGACCCATAGGATTTTCTGGGTGATTGAATGTTTCAGATTCCAGCTCGGAAAATTAGGGTTTCCTCCATGATGACAACTAGCACAGCCAGTTACGGCTGATCTTTTTAACAAACCGAAACGGGTCGGTCCCGCTATAAGCATTTTCATTTCTAGTGCAGTTTCTCTAGTTCTGCTACCGGATCGATTAGAGGAACTTTCAGGCCTGGTTGGCGTCGTAGCAACTTTGTCGCCACTTAGATCAGTGCTCTGCCGATCTGAGTTCGAGCTCTCGTCGTTTAAGTGCGGTCTAGCTGTCTTTCTCAGTTCCCGTCTCCGTTTCGGTCCGTCACAACCGAACCTTGCATGAGGGCCGGTCGAGCAACTTAGGCGACGCATGCGACGTAGGCGACGACGCTAGAAAGCGATGCTGAGCGTGCTGCGAGTGCATCTGCCGTCGGACATCCCGATCGCGGGGTGTGAGCTGTGCCCGTACGTGCTGCTGCGCAAGCCCGATGGCACCATCACCACGGAGGACATACCCGACACCAACCCCATCGATGGCTACTACATCCGCTGCCGCTGGTACGGTTGAATGAATGGATTGCGTTGACTGCGTTGAATGAATGGAATGCGTTGACTGGCGTTGACTGCGTTGACTGCTGTGCCCGTACGTGGAAACCCGATGGCACCATCACCATGGAGGACATTCCCGACACCAACCCCATCGATGGCTACTACATCCACTGCCGCTGGTACGTTGACCGCGTTCATTGAATTGACTTCGAGCCGACTCAATAGAAGACATTTCCGACTTCAACCCAGCGATGGATATTACATTCGCTGCCGCTGGTACGGGGAATGCGTGGAATGCGTTGACTCCCACGTATCGCGTGCAGAGCAACAAGCGAGTGGCAGTGTGCTCCGTGCATGGCAACGAGCTCGCAACCCTCCAACCCTAATCAACCGCTTTCCACCACACCACCTCTTCCCCCCACCTCCCAGGTACCGCGTGCAGAGCCACAAACGCGTGGCAGTGTGTTCAGTGCACGGCAACGAGCCGGCCAGGCTGCAGTGCCTGGGGTCCGTGAAGGCCAAGTTTCGCCTCCCCATCCCCATCACTCCTCCCCTCCTAGGTACCGAGTCCAAAGCGATAAACGTGTCGCGGTGTGTTCAGTGCACGGCAACGAGCCGGCCAGGCTGTAGTGCCTTGTATGCGTGAAGGCCAAGCTGCCCCTCCCCATCGCCCTATCTCTTTCCTCTCACCTTTCTAACTCCTTATTCCCCACTCCCAGGTACCGCATGCAGAGCGACAAGCGAGTGGCAGTGTGCTCAGTGCACGGCAATGAGCCCGCCACGCTGCAGTGCCTGGGGTGCGTGAAGGCCAACCTGCCCATCGCCCCGTATGCCCCCCCCCTCCCCCCCTTCTCATTCCATCAGGTACCGAGTCCAAAGCGATAAACGCGTCGCAGTGTGCTCGGTGCACGGCAACGAGCCGGCGACGCTGCAGTGCCTGGGGTGCGTGAAGGCCAAGCTGCCCATCGCTCGCAGCTACCACTGCTCGCCGCTCTGCTTCCAGGCCGCCTGGCCGCGCCACCGCGCGCTGCACTCGCGCGGACTCGGCGGAAGCACCCACGGCAGCAGCGACGGGACGCTCCCGGGAGAGATGAACCCCGGTGGGGCTGCTGGGGGGGGCGCGGGGGGGGTTGGCGGGGCGCAGAGGCGGGAGAACGGCGCGACGGCGGAGGAGGAGGATCTGTTTGGGAAGTTTAATAGTGGGAATGGGACCACAGGGCTGGCGGGGGCGGGGGCGGGGGCGGGGGCGCAGGGGGGCATGGGGAACGGCGCGCCTGGAGGGGGGTACGGGCAGGGGGAGCAGCAGCAGGGGGGGCAGCAGCAGGGGATGCAGGGTATGCAACGGCCGATGGGGGGGGGATTCGCGCACAGGCCGCCAGGGGGGCTCGCATACCAGTCTGACACCACCGGAGGGGGCTCCAACACTAGTGGCAGCGGCAGCGGGGAGGTGTGGTTCGAAGTGGGGCGCGGGAAGCCCTACACACCCACCACGGACGACGTAGGCCATGTTCTCAAGCTCGAATGTGTCCCTATCGAAGCCGCCACCGGCCTCCCCGTCGCGCCCCCGTCCACCCTCCTCACCTCCCGAGTCATCCCCGCGCCATCCCCTACCCCCCGGCGGATGGTTTCTGTGGGGGCCGGGGAGGGGGAGATGGGGGGCGCGCGTGGAGGGGGAGGGGGAGGGTTCACGGTGCTGTCATACAATGTGCTGGCGGACCTGTACGCAACGAGTGAGATGTACAGCTACTGCCCTCCCTGGGCGCTGTCGTGGGCCTATCGCAAACAAAATCTGCTCAGGGAGCTGATGGGGTACCGGGCGGATATCATGTGCTTGCAGGAGGTGAGTGGGTGTGCTTGTAACGAGAAAGGGAGGCATAGAAGGGGTTTATGGTGCTGTTGTACAATGTGCTGGCGGACCTGTATGCGGCGAGTGAGATGTACAGCTACTGCCCGCCCTGGGCGCTCTCCTGGGCGTACAGGAAGCAGAACTTGTTAAGGGAGCTGCTGGGGTACCGCGCTGATATCATGTGCTTGTAAGGAGTGTGGGTACAGTGAGCGACGCCCCGTTACCCCCTCACAACTGTCGGACTGCAGGTGCAGAGCGATCACTGTGAGGAGGAGCTCTTTTGGTCCGAGCTCTATGGCGCTCTGGTGTACGTTGCACTGCACTCCACCTCTCTTCTTCAGTCCCCTTTTCCCCTCTCCACGCCCCCCCTCTCCACTAACAAACTGCAGGTGCAGAGCGATCACTTTGAGGAGTTCTTTGGACCCGAGCTGGAGAAGCAGGGGTACGCGTCCGTGTTCAAGAAGAAGACTGCTGAGGTGGGTTGCTTGCTGCTTGTGATGGTGTGCTGTGCTGTGCTGTGGTGTGGTGTGGTGTGGTGTGGTGTGGTGTGGTGCGGTGCGGGGCGGTGCAGTGCGGTGCGGTGTGGTGTGATGTGGTGTAGTGTGGTGCGGTGTGGTACCGACCGCTGCTTATGGCCTTGAGAAAGGACCTGAACGCGCGAGACAAGAGAGGCTGTATTTAAGAAGGCATTCGAGGTGTGCTGCTGCGGCTGTGGGGTTCTCTCACGGTGAGAATGGAGTTGTGGTGTTGTGGTGTGTTGTGGTGTGTGGGGTGTGTGGGGTGGTGAACGGAACCCCACAGCAGCACATTTCGAAGGCATCCTCATACATGACGCCTATGACCACGTGAAATGATGTGAGCTTTTCAGACGTCTCAAATTTATGTTGAGACTCACTCATTTCACGTCATCGTACATTACGCCTATAAGATATGTCGCCCTTCCGCCGCTCTTCCCCCTCCCAGGTGTACACGGGCACAGCCCATCCCGTTGACGGCCGCATTGCTGTTTTGGGACGTGCCTCCTCACCGTCCCCATCCCCCCTCTCCCCTCTCCCCCCCCACCCCCAGGTATACACGGGCACGGCCTATGCCATAGACGGCTGTGCCACCTTCTTCCGCCGGGACCGCTTCTCCCTCGTCAAGAAGTATGAGGTGCGTGACCGTGGGATGGGGGGAGGAGGAGAAGGGGGTGAGGGGTTGAGGTGAGGGCTGGGGGTAAGCCCTGTGTATGGTGTGAGTGAGCGGGGAAGAGGCTGCTTCTCCCTCGTCAAGAAGTAGGTCGTGAGTGCATGCGTGCCTGCTGGGGAAAGGGGGTGGGGTGAGAGGTGCGCGCCTGCTGGGGAAAGGGGGTGGGGTGAGAGGTGCGTGCCTGCTGGGGAAAGGGGGTGGGGTGAGAGGTGCGTGCCTGCTGGGGAAAGGGGGTGGGGTGAGAGGTGCGTGCCTGCTGGGGAAAGGGGGTGGGGTGAGAGGTGCGTGCCTGCTGGGGAAAGGGGATGGGGTGAGAGGTGCGTGCCTGCTGGGGAAAGGGGGTGGGGTCTGAGAGGTGCGCGCCTGCTGGGGAAAGGGGGTGGGGTCTGAGAGGTGCGTGCCTGCTGGGGAAAGGGGGTGGGGTGAGAGGTGCGTGCCTGCTGGGGAAAGGGGGTGGGGTGAGAGGTGCGTGCCTGCTGGGGAAAGGGGGTGGGGTGAGAGGTGCGTGTCTCGTCGGCGCCCCTGGGGACAGCCCTGCTCACCTTCTCCCCCTGGGGAGGCAGAGGGGTGAGAGGTGCGCAGGGGGTGGGTGAGTGGTGTATGAGGTGCGCAGGGGGTGAGTGAGTGGTGTATGAGGTGCGCAGGGGGTGAGTGAGTGGTGTGGTGTATGAGGTGCGCAGGGGGTGAGTGAGTGGTGTATGAGGTGCGCAGGGGGTGAGTGAGTGGTGTATGAGGTGCGCAGGGGGTGAGTGAGTGGTGTATGAGGTGCGCAGGGGGTGAGTGAGTGGTGTATGAGGTGCGCAGGGGGTGAGTGAGTGGTGTATGAGGTGCGCAGGGGGTGAGTGAGTGGTGTATGAGGTGCGCAGGGGGTGAGTGAGTGGTGTATGAGGTGCGGCCTCAGGGAGGGGGGGGTGAAGTGGGGGGCAATAAGAGGTGCAGAACGAGCGAGGGGATGAAATGCTGCCTCTCGTATGATGCGCGTATTGGTTTATGATTCGACTCAAACATTCTGCCTCTCCCTCCTCAATAAGTATGATGTGTGTATTGTGGAGGGGGGGTGGGGGGGGTGGTTGTCACGAATGGCTGTTGCTATGTACGCTGGGTGGGGGGCTGAGTGTTGGGGGGCTGAGTGTTGGGGGGCTGAGTGTTGGGGGGCTGAATGCTGGGGGGCTGAGTGCTGGGAGGGGTTGAACGCTGGGGGGAGGTTGGGTGAGCGCTTGCTTTTATCTCATTCCCCTTCCTTCCCCCACCTCTCATCTCTCCCTCACATCTCTCCCTCACCTCTCTCCCTCACCTCTCTCCCTCACCTCTCTCCCTCACATCTCTCTCACTCTCTCACAGGTGGAGTTCAACAAGGCAGCGCTATCACTCTCTGAGGCCCTCGCGCCTCCCACAAAGAAGGCTGCTCTGAACCGCCTGCTCAAGGTACACTGGCAATCACCTCCCATCCCTTGTACCTGCATCCTGGTACTCTACACCTGCATCGTTGTACCATACACTCTAACTTACCCACCTAGAAGGCTACTCGCAATCGCCTTTCCCACCACCCCATCTCCACCCCCACCCCCACCCCCACCCCCACCCTCACCCCCACCCCACCCTCACCTCCTCCACTTCCCGCCAGGACAATACATCACTGATAGTGGTGCTAGGGGCTTTGAGGTCTCACATGCTGTCGACACATGTGCTCCTGTCGCTCATGGTCCCATCACCTCCCCCACTTCCCCCCTTTCCCCCTTCCCTCCAGGTCAATGTGTCGCTGATAGTGGTGTTTGAGACGCAGGGGGGGCTCATTTGCTGTCAACGCATGCACGCCTTTCTCCTCTTTCCCTGTACCAATCCTCCCTCCTCCCCTCCGCTCCCTTCCCCTCCTTCTGCTGCCAGGACAATGTGGCGCTGATAGTGGTGCTAGAAGCACGGGACGCAGGGGGGGGAGATGGCAAGGACGGGGCTAATGCGCCTCCCGCCAAGAGGCAGCTGCTCTGTGTGGTGAGATGCGGTGCTGTGCGGTGCTCTGCGTGGTGAGGTGCCGTGCTGTGCGGTGCTCTGTGTGGTGAGGTGCTGTGCTGTGCTGTGCTGTGCTGTGCTGTGCTGTGCGGTGCTGTGCTGTGCTGTGCTGTGCTGTGCTGTGCTGTGCTGTGCTGTGCTGTGCTGTGCTGTGCTGTGCTGTGCTGTGCTGTGCGGTGCTCTGTGTGGTGAGATGTGGTGCTGTGCGGTGCTCTGTCTTATGCAGTCCTGTGTTCATGTTCAGTTTTGGAGATGTATGAAAACTGGAATCGTATGTTCCCCCATGCTGTGACACGCGTCGTTTACTCTTCCCAACTTTCCTATGCTTCCATTTGTGTACTGTGATGCCCACTCCGCTCATATGCCAACGCATGCAATCAGCGTGTGATGAGGCGATTTTTGAGTCGAACTCATTGCCTCATTGCCCGCTCATTGCCCGCTCATTGCCCGCTCATTGCCCGCTCCGCTCATATGCCAACGCGTGCGATCACGTGCCAACCCAACCCATTCCTCTCCTCTCCACCCCCCATCAGGCGAACACGCACATCCACGCCAACCCTGAGCTCAAGGACGTGAAGCTGTGGCAGGTGAGGGATGAGGGGTTATGGCCGATCACCATTCCTTTCCGCTCGTCACGTCTTCCTCCTCTCTCACATCGATCTCCCTCCTCTCTTGCTCGCTCCTAACTCTATCATCTTTCCTGTGCTGATTTTGATGCGTCTCAATGCCGCCTCCCCTTCTCAAAATCACCTCCCCGTCGCTCTCCCCCCCGACCTCCTCCTCCCCCCATGCCAGGTGCACACGCTGCTCAAGGGGCTGGAGAAGATTGCAGGCAGTGCGCACATCCCAGTGCTCGCTTTGAGGCATTACCCAACCATCTTCCCTTCACATAACGACCTTTACTTCTCTCCCTCCTTCCCTTCCCACCAGGTGCACACGCTGCTCAAGGGCCTGGAGAAGATTGCAGCCAGTGCGGATATCCCCATGCTGGTGGCAGGGGACTTCAACAGCGTGCCGGGCAGGTGAGCTTTGAGACTTGAAGCGCGCCTGGTAGGTGAGTGAGGGGGAGGAGGAAAGGGGGTGCGGGGGAAGATAAGATAAGCAGGGTGGTGGGAGGAAGGGAGCGAAGCAGCAGCATGGTGTCCTTCCACGTTGTATGTCTCCCATTTCCTCTCAACCTCTCCCTATGTCTCCCATTTTGTTTGAGATTAGTTTTGAGAATTCTCAAAACTAATCTCATTTCCTCTCAAGCTCTCCCTATGTCTCCCTCATCCCTCTCCCCTGCCCTCTTCTTTCGTCCCCCCTCCCCTCGCCCCCTCTGCAGCGCGCCCCACTCACTGCTCGCTACAGGACGAGTCGATGCCAACCACCCAGAGCTCGCCACGGACCCTCTCGGCATCCTGCGACCCGCCTCCAAGCTCTGCCACCAGCTGCCCCTGGTAAGCTAGGTTGACTTTAATGCGTTACACTGTTACCAATGTTAGCTCCCCTGCTGCGTCTGCCATGTCGCCAGTTGCCCCTGGTATGTGGTAGAGGAACCATACTACATTGTTACCGGCAACAATATTGTCTCTTAAACCTCGCCACCGAACCACGCTGCATCCTGCGATCCGCATCCAAGCTCTGCCACCAGCTGCCGCTGGTAAGTCACCAGCTACCCCCAGTATGTCTGTTACTGCTGGTGGTGTGTCAGCCGTGTAACCCTGTAACCACTCTCTTCAACCTTGCCACGGACCCTCTCGCCATCTTGCGGCCCGCATCCAAGCTCTGCCACCAGCTGCCGCTGGTGGTTTTTGTTAAAATATATATTGTGTAGCATGCCAACACATGTGACTGTACACCAATTGTGGTGTACAGTTGGGTTGGGACTACACCCAACTTTGGGTGTAGTCTTGCACTTTGGGGTGCCAATCCACCCAATTGTGGTGGAGCCCCCAAATGCAACCCTCTTGACTTGTGGGTACCTCACTTCCCACAATTGAGGTTACCCCAAGCCAAGTGGGCCTAGGGTTGCCTCACTTCTACAAAGTGTGGGCAACCCAACCCACTTGACCTATGGTTCTCTCACTTCCCCAAGTGAGGTCAACCCAACCTATGGTCACTTTCATCCTTCCCTTCCAACCTTCCCTTCCAACTATGTATGCTAAGTTGTTCCTCTAATCTAATTACTTGTTCAATTCACAATCTTCACAGTTTTCCCCTATCGTGCTGTCGTGTGCTGCACTCCTACCATCCCATCTACCACACATTCTCGTGCTTGTTGCCTTCACCCACCCATTGCTACCCTTGGATGCCCTCTACATCCCCACCCCTCATAAGGTCAGCTCACATGCCTCTCTGAGCCGCTTGGTGGCAGAGCGGCAGCAAGCACAGGGAGAAAGCGGCACCACTCACCAGACACCTTTGTCCACCCTTTCCCCTTCTTCATCCACCCTTTGTTTTTTTGTTTTTTTGTTTTTTTGTTTTTTTTTTTTTTCTCCTCCCTCTTCCGCCTTCCCTCTCCCCGTCTCACAGGTCAGCGCATATGCTTCTCTCAGCCGCGGCGGCTCGGTGGCGGAGCGGCAGCGGCGGCGTATGGACGCGAGCAGCAGCGAGCCGCTGTTCACAAACGTGACTCGCGACTTCATGGGCACCCTGGACTACACCTTCTATACTGGTGAGGGGGTGCTGTGAGCATATAGAGTAGCGTGGGAGCACTGAACACCTATCCCAGCAGCAGCAGCAGCAGCGAGCCGCTGTTCACGAACGTGACTCGCGAGTTCATGGGCACCCTGGACTACACCTTCTACACCGGTGGGTGGATGGTTGGGTACATGATTGGGTGGGTGGGTGGATGGTTGGGTGGGATGGTTGGGTGGGATGGTTGGGTGGGATGGTTGGGTGGGATGGTTGGGTGGGATGGTTGGGTGGGATGGTTGGGTGGGATGGTTGGGTGGGATGGTTGGGTGGGATGGTTGGGTGGGATGGTTGGGTGGGATGGTTGGGTGGGATGGTTGGGTGGGATGGTTGGGTGGGATGGTTGGGTGGGATGGTTGGGTGGGACGGTTGGGTGGGATGATGATGTGATTGCGTGGTTTTGTGGGTGCACCTTACAACTTCTGCACCTTCTCCTTCCATTCCTTCGCCCCTCACTGCAGCCGACTCCCTGTCAGTGGAGTCAGTGCTGGAGCTACTGGACGAGGACAGTGTGCGCAAGGACACCGCACTGCTCTGTCTGTTTGTGCGTACCTTAATCGTTCTCACTGTCTTCCCGTTCCCTCCCCCACACACATTGCAGCCGACTCCTTGTCAGTAGAATCGGTGCTGGAGCTGCTAGATGTGGACAGTGTGCGCAAGGATACCATGCTGCCGTCCCCTGCGTGTGTGAATGCCTTCAGTCATTCTCCTCCCATCTCCTCTCCACTTTCCTCTCATTCCTCCCCTCCCTACTCCAGCCGACTCTCTTTCCGTCGAATCGGTTCTGGAGCTACTGGACGAGGACAGTGTGCGCAAGGACACTGCGCTGCCGTCCCCCGAGTGGTCCTCAGACCACCTTGCTCTGCTCACTGAGTTCAGATACAAGCCCCGCATGCGGCGGTAGAGGAGAGGCTTGTAAAGAGTACAGAATGGTCTGTGGATTACCTGCGCTTCTCACCGAGTTTAGATACAAGCCTAGGATGAGGCTGTAGTGGAGAGGCTTATAAAGGGTACGGAGTGGAGACTGAGTGGTCCTCGAACCACCTTGCCTGCTCACAGAGTTCCGATACAAGCTCAGGTTGAGGCGGTAAAGGGGACGCTTATAAAGGGTACAGATGCAGATAGTGGTGGTTGAACCACCTTGTCCGCTGGCAGATTACAAGACAAGCCCATTATAGGGTGGTAAAAGGGAAGCTCGTAGAGGGTACAGTCCAGCCCAAAATGGTCTCCCTCTGGCTGAACTACTAGGCAGGCTGATATGCTATTTAGGGTACAGGGTGTACGTGCAGGTGGAGGTACACATGCAGATGCAGCTGGATGAGAGAAGAGGGAAAGGCGAGAAAAGCGTGCTGGCTGGTGATCGTATGCAGCTTAGAGGTAAGGTGCTGTGCGATGACACACCCTGTTGGCATGTGCTGCCCTGCCCTGTGCTAGCCTTGTCGGTGTTTTCAAGCCATGTGCGCTGCCTACAGGGGTTGGGCTGGGTTGGGTGGGTTGCTGCTGCAACATGCTTGGCCTGGAGGGCAGCAGCTGCTGTACACTGGATAGTGCTGGCAGTGGGAGGGGAGGAACACTGATGTTTGCAGCGCCCAGGCGTGCGCAGGTGGGTTGGCTGCAGGCAGGCCTATTCTGATACTGTAAAACTTGCAGCACCATAAGAGAAAGAAGCATGCCAAGTGAGGCATGAGAATCATGTAAAGCAAAGCCCCTGAAGTAAGGGAGGGGCAAGGCAAGGCAACGACGATACGCAAGTACAAGGCCACAAGACTCTACGCGACACTCCATTGAGGAGAGGAGGTGGTGCATCGCTGGAATGCTCCCAGCTGAGATGCAGTGCGACTGTGCGACTCTCATCGGACATCAGTTACGGTGTTACGCGATTAATGCGGAGATACATACGTACGGTTCCTACCGGGAAAATGCCTGTCGTCACAAAAACTGCTAAGTGCAAGCTCTCATGTAAAGCGGCAGAAATGAGAAGGCCCGTTCTCTTTTTTGTGTATCTCAAGTATTTCAGAATGTTAACAAAAGCTGGTCTCCAAGAAACTCCACTTGCAATTTTCTCCATGTTGGGAATTGAAACAAGTGTAGCAGCAACGTTTTACAGATACAGCGCATAACAATTAATACCTAGATACAGTGCATTACTCGTTTTAGGGCTCGCTTCCACCACGAAGTGGAGCCCAAGCCCATCACCTCGATTTCCGAAATTCCCAGCGATGGCGGTTAGCCTGGCACAGCGCGCCGCTTTCGCATCTTCTCCAATCCCCGCACCGCATTCAGCTTGCAGATCGCATAGTTCATCGCGCCCCGCGCGTTCCAGCCGATTAAATGTTGTGTGTGTTCCCCCGCCCCGTTGCTCCTATGCTTCCGTCCCTTCCTCTCGCACTAAATTCCACAACGGAAGCGAGCATTGCTCGCGAGGCTTCGTGCCGAGTACCCGTTACAGTCACGGGGGTTTTAGTCACGTTCTGTCAGGGCGGGTGGGCGCCAGCAGGCATGGGAGAACGCTGAGTACGCGGGGGGTTGTCAGAGCAGCGGATTCAGCGGGACCATCCCAAGCCAAGCAAGACTACTCTGTACGGATTCTCCTTTCCAGCTCTCTTTTTATGTTCACAAAACGATTAACGTACCCCTACTTTTTTTTTTTCCCCCCATGCGTTTCTCCGTCTTTGTTTTGTCTCTGCTGTTGGTGTGCATTCAGGTTTGAATGCTTATACCCTGCACCCTGTACCTTGTCCCTTGCCCCGCTCATTCCACTCTTTCATTTCTTTCCTCCCCTCTTCAACCCCACCCCCCCCTCCCCCGCCTCCCCTTCTCCCCTCTCCCCTCCCCCCTTTTTCGCGTTTCCTTTCACCCCCCCTTCCCCCTCCTCCCACTTCCACTGAAATGTGAGCAGCTTCAAAGCTCACCACACCAGATCTCCTCTTTCCGCGCACCTTCTGTTTCACCGCCCATCTTCCTGCCTCCCCCGTTCCCCCCCCTTCCCCTCTCCCCCCGAACCTCTCCAAGTCACGAGCAAAAGACCCTTTGTGGGTTGATGTCTAAGCAGCAAGTATTTCCCCTCCCTCTATCCCACCTCCTTCATTCTTCCCTCCCCATCCCCACTAGTTCACGGACGAGGGGTCCTCTGTGAAAGTCCCCGTGCCCATCCTCTTTAGAGCCTTACCCCTCGTTCCCCATGTCGCCTCCTTTCCCTCTCTCCCCCCTCCATCCCCCCCAGTTCACGGACTGTGGAGGTCCGAGTGCCCATCTCCTTTCCCCCACATCCTCCCCAGTTCGCCCTTTTTTTCCCCGTCCCTCCCTTCCCCTTCCCTCCCTTTTTCCTCCCTCCGCCCCCCCTCTCAGTTCACGGACGAGGGACCGTCCGTGGAGGTCCGCGTGCCAATCCCTGCTGCTCTCCGGCCAATCCAGGCACGCCACGTGGCAGTGAGCGTGCAGGACGACGCGCTGTCAGTGGCCGTGACGCCGCCAGCTGGCTTCGGGAGCAAGGAGGGAGTGGTGAAGGGCAAGGAGGGGCGGGAGCGATCGCTGCTGGCGGCGAGTCCGCTGTATGGGCGGGTGAAGGCGAGCGAGAGTGCTTGGTGCGTGTTGATTAGTGAGTGGGTCTCTTTGTTCCAGCCAAGTACGTTTGGCAGAGCGAGCGAACGTTGCTGGTGGCGAGACCCCTGTATGGGCGAGTAAAGGCCAGGGAGACTATGTGGTGGGTGAATGGGTGAGAAGAGTAGGGCGGAGGAGGTGGCAAAGAGAGGGAGCGGGAAAGGAAGGAGGAGTGGGGGGGTTACAACGGCTTTGGTTGGTGACTTGGGTTGGTGACGGGTCTGAGTGACCAGCCGGAGGTTAGGCGAGCGAACTTTGATTGACGAAGGAGGGGTGTTGGGTCTAAGCTCTGATACCATGGTAGAATGGCAAGTGGGTTACAAGAAGAAAGGGCAGGCCGCAGAATTTGGTACATCCATCGACGGACTCGAAACCAGCTCGAACACTCTCTCTCCCTCCCTGCCTGCCTGCATTCCTTCCTCCCAGGTACATTGACGACACAGAGATTGTCATCACACTCTTCAAACACCCACAACCCTCCTCCTCCTCCACCGCTCCCTCTGCACCTTCCGAGCCTGTCTTCCAGGCCTGGCCGACCCTGATCAAGGGCTGGGAGGCACTGGCAGGGGCGGTGGCCAATCAGCTCAAGAGCTGCTCTGTGCTGCTGGTGGGCGGTTGCACTCGACTGAATGCGGCCGTTGCTGCAGAGATGGCTACTGGGCTTGGGTAAGTTCGATTCTTGCCTTCACAATAAGTTGATCCTACGATTGCTTCAGAGTAACTTGCTTGTTTGCATTTGGGTAGGTTGATTCAGAGAAGTTTGTTTCTTTCCCCATGCTCAAGGTAGGGCCAATTCTTGTCCGCCTATTCCGCTGGTGCTTAATGCACCAAGAATGATGCACCTTGGCATTGTCCGATCTGATCTGAAGGGCTCCCTGCCATGCGTCTGACTTCAATTGCATGCAACCGTTACCATGTGGCCAATACCATGTGGCCAATACCATGTGGCCAATACCATGTGGCCAATACCATGTGGCATGCATGTTACAATCTGTGCATATGTCCTGTTTCATGCGCATGCCAGCTATGCACCCATGCATGCCATATCTCTTGTATTCATGTTGTTTCCTATGGAACCTATCATGCGCATGCCAGCTATGCACCCATGCATGCCATATCTCTTGTATTCATGTTGTTTCCTATGGAACCTATCATGCGCATGCCAGCTATGCACCCATGCATGCCATATCTCTTGTATTCATGTTGTTTCCTATGGAACCTATCATGCGCATGCCAGCTATGCACCCATGCATGCCATATCTCTTGTATTCATGTTGTTTCCTATGGAACCTATCATGCGCATGCCAGCTATGCACCCATGCATGCCATATCTCTTGTATTCATGTTGTTTCCTATGGAACCTATCATGCGCATGCCAGCTATGCACCCATGCATGCCATATCTCTTGTATTCATGTTGTTTCCTATGGAACCTATCATGCGCATGCCAGCTATGCACCCATGCATGCCATATCTCTTGTATTCATGTTGTTTCCTATGGAACCTATCATGCGCATGCCAGCTATGCACCCATGCATGCCATATCTCTTGTATTCATGTTGTTTCCTATGGAACCTATCATGCGCATGCCAGCTATGCACCCATGCATGCCATATCTCTTGTATTCATGTTGTTTCCTATGGAACCTATCATGCGCATGCCAGCTATGCACCCATGCATGCCATATCTCTTGTATTCATGTTGTTTCCTATGGAACCTATCATGCGCATGCCAGCTATGCACCCATGCATGCCATATCTCTTGTATTCATGTTGTTTCCTATGGAACCTATCATGCGCATGCCAGCTATGCACCCATGCATGCCATATCTCTTGTATTCATGTTGTTTCCTATGGAACCTATCATGCGCATGCCAGCTATGCACCCATGCATGCCATATCTCTTGTATTCATGTTGTTTCCTATGGAACCTATCATGCGCATGCCAGCTATGCACCCATGCATGCCATATCTCTTGTATTCATGTTGTTTCCTATGGAACCTATCATGCGCATGCCAGCTATGCACCCATGCATGCCATATCTCTTGTATTCATGTTGTTTCCTATGGAACCTATCATGCGCATGCCAGCTATGCACCCATGCATGCCATATCTCTTGTATTCATGTTGTTTCCTATGGAACCTATCATGCGCATGCCAGCTATGCACCCATGCATGCCATATCTCTTGTATTCATGTTGTTTCCTATGGAACCTATCATGCGCATGCCAGCTATGCACCCATGCATGCCATATCTCTTGTATTCATGTTGTTTCCTATGGAACCTATCATGCGCATGCCAGCTATGCACCCATGCATGCCATATCTCTTGTATTCATGTTGTTTCCTATGGAACCTATCATGCGCATGCCAGCTATGCACCCATGCATGCCATATCTCTTGTATTCATGTTGTTTCCTATGGAACCTATCATGCGCATGCCAGCTATGCACCCATGCATGCCATATCTCTTGTATTCATGTTGTTTCCTATGGAACCTATCATGCGCATGCCAGCTATGCACCCATGCATGCCATATCTCTTGTATTCATGTTGTTTCCTATGGAACCTATCATGCGCATGCCAGCTATGCACCCATGCATGCCATATCTCTTGTATTCATGTTGTTTCCTATGGAACCTATCATGCGCATGCCAGCTATGCACCCATGCATGCCATATCTCTTGTATTCATGTTGTTTCCTATGGAACCTATCATGCGCATGCCAGCTATGCACCCATGCATGCCATATCTCTTGTATTCATGTTGTTTCCTATGGAACCTATCATGCGCATGCCAGCTATGCACCCATGCATGCCATATCTCTTGTATTCATGTTGTTTCCTATGGAACCTATCATGCGCATGCCAGCTATGCACCCATGCATGCCATATCTCTTGTATTCATGTTGTTTCCTATGGAACCTATCATGCGCATGCCAGCTATGCACCCATGCATGCCATATCTCTTGTATTCATGTTGTTTCCTATGGAACCTATCATGCGCATGCCAGCTATGCACCCATGCATGCCATATCTCTTGTATTCATGTTGTTTCCTATGGAACCTATCATGCGCATGCCAGCTATGCACCCATGCATGCCATATCTCTTGTATTCATGTTGTTTCCTATGGAACCTATCATGCGCATGCCAGCTATGCACCCATGCATGCCATATCTCTTGTATTCATGTTGTTTCCTATGGAACCTATCATGCGCATGCCAGCTATGCACCCATGCATGCCATATCTCTTGTATTCATGTTGTTTCCTATGGAACCTATCATGCGCATGCCAGCTATGCACCCATGCATGCCATATCTCTTGTATTCATGTTGTTTCCTATGGAACCTATCATGCGCATGCCAGCTATGCACCCATGCATGCCATATCTCTTGTATTCATGTTGTTTCCTATGGAACCTATCATGCGCATGCCAGCTATGCACCCATGCATGCCATATCTCTTGTATTCATGTTGTTTCCTATGGAACCTATCATGCGCATGCCAGCTATGCACCCATGCATGCCATATCTCTTGTATTCATGTTGTTTCCTATGGAACCTATCATGCGCATGCCAGCTATGCACCCATGCATGCCATATCTCTTGTATTCATGTTGTTTCCTATGGAACCTATCATGCGCATGCCAGCTATGCACCCATGCATGCCATATCTCTTGTATTCATGTTGTTTCCTATGGAACCTATCATGCGCATGCCAGCTATGCACCCATGCATGCCATATCTCTTGTATTCATGTTGTTTCCTATGGAACCTATCATGCGCATGCCAGCTATGCACCCATGCATGCCATATCTCTTGTATTCATGTTGTTTCCTATGGAACCTATCATGCGCATGCCAGCTATGCACCCATGCATGCCATATCTCTTGTATTCATGCTGTTTCCTATGGAACCTATCATGCGCATGCCAGCTATGCACCCATGCATGCCATATCTCTTGTATTCTCTTGTATTCATGTTGTTTCCTATGGAACCTATCATGCGCATGCCAGCTATGCACCCATGCATGCCATATCTCTTGTATTCTCTTGTATTCATGCTGTTTCCTATGGAACCTATCATGCGCATGCCAGCTATGCACCCATGCATGCCATATCTCTTGTATTCTCTTGTATTCATGCTGTTTCCTATGGAACCTATCATGCGCATGCCAGCTATGCACCCATGCATGCCATATCTCTTGTATTCTCTTGTATTCATGTTGTTTCCTATGGAACCTATCATGCGCATGCCAGCTATGCACCCATGCATGCCATATCTCTTGTATTCTCTTGTATTCATGCTGTTTCCTATGGAACCTATCATGCGCATGCCAGCTATGCACCCATGCATGCCATATCTCTTGTATTCTCTTGTATTCATGCTGTTTCCTATGGAACCTATCATGCGCATGCCAGCTATGCACCCATGCATGCCATATCTCTTGTATTCATGTTGTTTCCTATGGAACCTATCATGCGCATGCCAGCTATGCACCCATGCATGCCATATCTCTTGTATTCATGTTGTTTCCTATGGAACCTATCATGCGCATGCCAGCTATGCACCCATGCATGCCATATCTCTTGTATTCATGTTGTTTCCTATGGAACCTATCATGCGCATGCCAGCTATGCACCCATGCATGCCATATCTCTTGTATTCATGTTGTTTCCTATGGAACCTATCATGCGCATGCCAGCTATGCACCCATGCATGCCATATCTCTTGTATTCATGTTGTTTCCTATGGAACCTATCATGCGCATGCCAGCTATGCACCCATGCATGCCATATCTCTTGTATTCATGTTGTTTCCTATGGAACCTATCATGCGCATGCCAGCTATGCACCCATGCATGCCATATCTCTTGTATTCATGTTGTTTCCTATGGAACCTATCATGCGCATGCCAGCTATGCACCCATGCATGCCATATCTCTTGTATTCATGTTGTTTCCTATGGAACCTATCATGCGCATGCCAGCTATGCACCCATGCATGCCATATCTCTTGTATTCATGTTGTTTCCTATGGAACCTATCATGCGCATGCCAGCTATGCACCCATGCATGCCATATCTCTTGTATTCATGTTGTTTCCTATGGAACCTATCATGCGCATGCCAGCTATGCACCCATGCATGCCATATCTCTTGTATTCATGTTGTTTCCTATGGAACCTATCATGCGCATGCCAGCTATGCACCCATGCATGCCATATCTCTTGTATTCATGTTGTTTCCTATGGAACCTATCATGCGCATGCCAGCTATGCACCCATGCATGCCATATCTCTTGTATTCATGTTGTTTCCTATGGAACCTATCATGCGCATGCCAGCTATGCACCCATGCATGCCATATCTCTTGTATTCATGTTGTTTCCTATGGAACCTATCATGCGCATGCCAGCTATGCACCCATGCATGCCATATCTCTTGTATTCATGTTGTTTCCTATGGAACCTATCATGCGCATGCCAGCTATGCACCCATGCATGCCATATCTCTTGTATTCATGTTGTTTCCTATGGAACCTATCATGCGCATGCCAGCTATGCACCCATGCATGCCATATCTCTTGTATTCATGTTGTTTCCTATGGAACCTATCATGCGCATGCCAGCTATGCACCCATGCATGCCATATCTCTTGTATTCATGT